CAGGGAAGGTTTCACCTTGGTGAGGACTGTGTGAGATATGAGACCGAGACCCAGCTCAGTCAGCCTGAGGGGGCTGTGGTGGCTTGGCAGGTCCTGCTCCAAGGCAGTATTGCTGCCAAAGCTTTTCCTTATCTGCTGCATCCACCTCATGTACCACTTGCCTGGGTACACTGCTGGACTTTGGTGCCTGTTTTACAACCTTTTATCAAATCAGTGATGGTAGCAATATTTTGAAGGATCAAAAGTTCTGTGATAGCAGCGATACAAGCTGGGGCTTGTATCAGCAGGGGGCTGGTGCCATTGCTCTGGTGCCACCAGGGCTTCTCTGTCTGGGCTTTTCTCTGTCAGCCTTTTTATTTTATGAAATCTTATGAAGGTTTCCCTGAAGGTTTGGGATATGATAGACTCCAAAGAGAAGCTCGTTTGGAAGGTGCCACCAGAGCACTTGATTTCCAGGTGGATGAGCCACAGGTTGGTGGTTTCTCTCATGAATTCTGCCAGATCGGGCAAGGCAGAACTTCCCAGTTAGTCCTCTCTTTGCCTGAAGAAACAACCCCCTTGTTTTGCACATCCTAGGCCAGCCTTGCTGTGTCACTTTAGGACAGTAGGAATGTTCTTGACCAGAGCTTCTCTGTGCCCCCCTAAGCGCCGTTTGTTTGAGAAGGTGCCGCTTTCTTCCCTAATCTCAAATCACTGCAGGGATGATTCTCTCCTAGGCCCCTTCCCCACACCAGGAGCTGCTGATGGTGCTGCTGGATGGGACTCAGGGGCTCTGTTTGCTCACAGTTGAGTGCTGGTAGAAGTGGTGAAGAACAGTTGCCCTGCATCTGGAAGAACAGGTCTCCCACTGATGTTTATGAGGGGGAAAGTAGGAAGGAAACGGACCCAGCACGGGTCCCGAAGGAAGATGTGGATGGACCATTCCCATCTAGGAGGTGTCAGAGGAAGTGTCATTCTAGAAGTCTTAGAAGGCTGAGGAGGGAACAGGTCTATCCTCCAACTCCACATTGTATAACAGAAGAGCACACCTTCTGCACCAGCCTCAAAGGGTTCTTCTGGGTCCAGCTCTTCAGGCTGTCACACATCTTATGGGGGACCTTCAAAAATCCTCATTCCTATGTGCCTTTGCAGGAACTTGCAATGCTTCCACATTGCTTAACATACCATTTTTGGTGCACTTCCATCCTCCTCAGTCTTCTCACCCCAGAAACCATCTTAAACAGCTCTTCCATATCTGCTCTGGGGCCACAGGCCTCCTAGGGATGAGTCTTCAAAGAGGGGGCTGGAAGGAAGGGACAGGTCTTGGCCTCTGCTAGGGTGGATGGTGGTGTGGATGTGACACATCTGCAAAAGGTTCAGCCAGAGGGATGCAACCGGAAGTGCAGTCCCACCTAGAACCACCCCTGCCTCCCTCCTGGGAAGTTCTTCACCCTTCCTCTACTATAAAGAGACTGGGCTTATCTCATGCACCCACCACATGCCACCAGCCCGTGGAGCTACCTGAGCTTAGTACTCATCAAGTAGCCTTTTATCAAATGAATAGTTACACATTTACCAGACAGCAAATAAATACATCCAAAGATCACAAATCACGTTGTAGCACAGAGTGTTTAAAAGCAGGGGGCTGGTGCCATTGCTCTAGTGCCACCAGGGCTTCTCTGCCTGGGCTTTTCTCTGTCAGCCTTTTTATTTTATGAAATCCTATGAAGGTTTCCCTGAAGGCTTTGGATGTGATAGACTCCAAAGAGAAGCTCGTTTGGAAGGTGCCACCAGAGCACTTGATTTCCAGGTGGATGAGCCACAGGTTGGTGGTTTCTCTCATGAATTCTGCCAGATCGGGCAAGGCAGAACTTCCCAGTTAGTCCTCTCTTTGCCTGAAGAAACAACCCCTTGTTTTGCACATCCTAGGCCAGCCTTGCTGTGTCACTTTAGGACAGTAGGAATGTTCTTGACCAGAGCTTCTCTGTGCCCCCCTAAGCGCCGTTTGTTTGAGAAGGTGCCGCTTTCTTCCCTAATCTCAAATCACTGCAGGGATGATTCTCTCCTAGGCCCCTTCCCCACACCAGGAGCTGCTGATGGTGCTGCTGGATGGGACTCAGGGGCTCTGTTTGCTCACAGTTGAGTGCTGGTAGAAGTGGTGAAGAACAGTTGCCCTGCATCTGGAAGAACAGGTCTCCCACTGATGTTTATGAGGGGGAAAGTAGGAAGGAAACAGACCCAGCACGGGTCCCGAAGGAAGATGTGGATGGACCATTCCCATCTAGGAGGTGTCAGAGGAAGTGTCATTCTAGAAGTCTTAGAAGGCTGAGGAGGGAACAGGTCTATCCTCCAACTCCACATTGTATAACAGAAGAGCACACCTTCTGCACCAGCCTCAAAGGGTTCTTCTGGGTCCAGCTCTTCAGGCTGTCACACATCTTATGGGGGACCTTCAAAAATCCTCATTCCTATGTGCCTTTGCAGGAACTTGCAATGCTTCCACATTGCTTAACATACCATTTTTGGTGCACTTCCATCCTCCTCAGTCTTCTCACCCCAGAAACCATCTTAAACAGCTCTTCCACATCTGCTCTGGGGCCACAGGCCTCCTAGGGATGAGTCTTCAAAGAGGGGCTGGAAGGAAGGGACAGGTCTTGGCCTCTGCTAGGGTGGATGGTGGTGTGGATGTGACACATCTGCAAAAGGTTCAGCCAGAGGGATGCAACCGGAAGTGCAGTCCCACCTAGAACCACCCCTGCCTCCCTCCTGGGAAGTTCTTCACCCTTCCTCTACTATAAAGAGACTGGGCTTATCTCATGCACCCACCACATGCCACCAGCCCGTGGAGCTACCTGAGCTTAGTACTCATCAAGTAGCCTTTTATCAAATGAATAGTTACACATTTACCAGACAGCAAATAAATACATCCAAAGATCACAAATCACGTTGTAGCACAGAGTGTTTAAAAGCAGGGGGCTGGTGCCATTGCTCCAGTGCCACCAGGGCTTCTCTGCCTGGGCAGCACTCACCAGGCTCCTGCAGAAATGGCCCAGCTGCTCTGTGCTCCTCTACAAGTCACCACCACGCTGGTTCTGCTCCTGTCCATGCTCCATGTGGCTGCTGGTGGGAAGTTGCTGGTGGTGCCAGCAGATGGGAGCCACTGGCTCAGCATGACGGAGGTGCTGGACCAACTCAGCCTGAAGGGCCACGAAATAGTCGTCCTTGCACCTGAGCATAACTTATACATAAAGCCAAGGAAGAGTTTTGTTATGAAAAGCTACCCAGTCAGTTTCACGCAGGAAGAGCTGGAGCATACTTTCTGGAAAACTACTCAGAATGCCTTTTTCAAAGGATCCCTTCTGGAAAGAATTCTGAAAAATTACGAAGGAGTGAAAAATACTTCTGTCATCTTCCTGGATACCTGTTCAAGGTTACTGGACAACAACCAGCTCATCAGATACCTTGAGGAGAGCAAGTTTGATGCTATCTTCACAGATCCCATCCTGCCCTGTGGACAGATCCTGGCTGAGCATCTCGCTGTCCCTTCCGTAGCTTTTTTGCAGCAAATGCCATGTGGTTTAGAATTCGAAGCCACTCAGTGTCCCAATCCCCCTTCTTATATCCCCAGGGTATTCACAGACCTTGCAGACCGCATGACCTTTTTCCAGCGGGTGAAGAACCTCCTGTTTGACTTCCCAAATTTTTTCATGTGTGATGTTCTCTATCAACCCTACGAAACACTGGCTTCCAAGTTCCTTCATCGGGAGGTGACTGTGACTGAGCTCTTAAGCCATGTCTCCATCTGGGTGTTGAAGATAGACTTTGTTTTACACTACCCCAGACCACTGATGCCCAATATGATTTTAACCGGAGGAGTGAACTGTGCTCACAAGAAGCTAACTCAGGTAGACCGTGCTCTGTTGTTTCTTGTCATCCTCGCAGGCTCTGGCAGACTCTGAAAGTTGGTAACACCAGTTTTGTTAGGCAGGGCTCTCTCTCTGGGGCACAGTAGAAGGATTTCCAACTGCTTTTGCTTTGCAAAGAGGTGCCAGTACTTGTTTCACTGTGCAGATGGAGAAAGTGTTGTGTATGGAATTAGCTCTGGGAAACCCTCCATTGGTCCCGTGCCTCTGCTCAAAGCCAGAGCACTAGAGCAGGTTCCTCAGTGCCTCTTCACTCTGGACTGCTGATATGCTGCAAGACAGCCTTTCATTCCTTAAGACCTTCATTCATCCTCTGGTCCAACCTGTTGTTGCTGATTTCTTCTACATTCCTGTCTTTTTCCCTTTAAAGAAGGATCCTGTGTGTTTCGAATTGTCAGGGACTCATTAAGCACTTCTTATTTGCAGGCCTGTTGGTGAACGTCCCACTCAAAGCAGGTCCAGTCAGTTCAGGTTGTTCCACTCTATGTCTTGTCAAGTTTTGAGTATCTCCTGTGACCCTTGTAATGAAAACACCTTATTATAGCCCATTTATTATTGCATTCATCTTGGATTTTCCACGCTGTGGCCTGTGTCTGTTGCCTCTTGTTCTGTCACTGTGGATCTCTGAGAAGAGTGTGGCTTGCTCTTCTTTATGCCTTCCTGCTAAAGGTGTTGGAGACACCAATAAGATCTCATTAGCCTTCTCTTCTGAGTCCTGAGCCAGCTTCTGTTGGTCCATTTCTCCAGCTTGTGGCATCCAGGCCAGTGATGCCTCCTTATTTAAAGCACCATCAGAATAAGAACTAATTCTGAAGCATTTTTTCAGAGGATTCACACTTGGCACTGGGTCTAGAGAAGCAGAGATGGAGTGAAAGGTATCACTAAACCTGTGAAGAGAACTCTGATAGAGACCTAGGAAGCCCTGAAAGGTGCAGCAAAGGTGAAAGGGGAACTGATATGTGGCCTCTCCCAATACTTGATCTGTGACTAATGCCAAAGTGAGGCAGCAGCATGTTTGAAGCAAAGAAAAGGCAGAACCTTTTCATACACAGTCAATAAACCTGCCTCTCAACACCAGCAAGACAAAAATCTATGGATTTAGAAAGTTAGTAAGAGGTACATTCTGACTGCCAGGATTTGTGGACTTAGAAATCATTGGGTTCCCCTAACTGAGGGTGGTCACTGTACATTAGTGTTGGGGTGGCTTTTTTTGGTGTGTGTGGGGGGGTGTTTTTAGCTCTTTAATGTTCTTTTATAGCATGGTATTAGTGTTGCACAGATAATACATGCCTGGCTGTTAGCAGAAGTTAAAGCCTCTGTGGAAGTGACTTTACATCAGCTATAGGATCTTATCTGCTAGTCCAGGGTAACTACCTGAGTGTGTAGTGCCACCTTAGGGCATATGTCATGCTGCACCTCCTGCTTACTGAGGGATCTTCTCCTCTGTATGGCTGAAAGGGGAACAGGCACTCCCAGGTGCTGCAGCTAACTCCTTCTGTCCACTGCCTGCAGCTTATGGTCTGTTCCTATCACCTCACTGTCAGCTAGAGAGAAAGTTCTGCTTTAACTGGCTGCAGAATAGGACTGGAACCATGTCTGAAACTCCTTCCTCCTTAATGCAGTTTCCTTAGATGTTACAGTCTTTCCCGTTTTGGTTTTGGTTGTTTTTTTGAGAATCACTTTTTTTAACATGCCCCATGGAAAACCTCCTGTCAAAAAAACCAAAAACAACCATCTTAGGACCTGCTTAGTATTAGCCTTGGGTGTGCTTATCATAGAATGGTTTGAGTCAGAAGGGACTGTAAGGATCACCTAGTTCTAACCCCCCCTGCATGGGCAGGGACACCTCTCACTAGACCAGGTTGCTCAGAGAACAACCAACCTGCCTCCAACACTTCCAGGGATGGGACTTGCATACCCAGGTACATTTGGCAGAGGTAGACGTTTGATGAACCAGATTTCCCATCACTCCTACTTGCTCCAAGACAGCTCTTCCAGGTTGCTGTACATCATGAAGAAACCATACAGAGCTTCTTCCCACCAGGTGTGCTTGGTTGAGGGTCTAAATCAAACAGCTCCACCTTTCCAGCCAGTGTCCTAGGCGTGGGACTCTCTTCCACATCAGGTCAGCCAAGCTGTTGGAGAGGCAAACCTTCAGCATCTCAAAAGTGAAAAGCTTTTTCCCAATGTTCAGGTCAAATGTCTTCACCTGCAGTTTGTGGCTCTGGTTTGATTCTTTCCTGCTGCCCAGAGAAGTTTGGCTCCATCATGGTTTCTTCCTGTTGAGCAGCTGTAGGCTCTGGGTTGGTCTTAGAGAGAACAGGATTTCAAACTGGGTTTTGGGGTTGGTTTGGGTTTTTTTGGCCTTAAAAATCTTATCATAGCACAGACTGAAACAGCTCAGAAACTCTGTCCTCCCTTTCTTGTGGCAAGCGCAAGTGTGGACTTAGTGGGTACATAATCTGCTATTAAGAACTTTCAAGAAGGTTTGACCTGTAGGCTCTTTACCTCTGAACTTTTTGTGGCCCCTCTTGAGCAAGGACCACACGTTTTTTGCTGAATCAATGTTGGTATCAAAAGTTGTTTAATATGTTACCCAAACTTTGGTGACCACCACTCCCTGACGGTTGGCTCCTCTTCACGTGTAGAACATGTGCTGAACTCCAGGCACCTTTCTGAGCAAAGGTGAGGAGAAGGGAGAAAGTTGAAGGTCTAGGTCTTGCAGTGTCAACAAATTCAACACACCTCTTGTACTATCAGCTCTCTGGAGAAGCTCAGTGGCCATGGAAGTTGGGAGGCAGCGCTCCTGACTTTCATCTGACACAGGGCAACCAAGCACACAGGGCCTCATTCCAGACAAAATTCCTGATGCAGAAAAATCCCTTGGCAAACAACTGCTAATCCAAGGCCCTGCTAATTGTTCAGAGCCACTTATGATAAGATAAACTCATGGAAATGCTTCTTGCTTTAGATCCCTTGGGAGCTATCTTATCGGTGCTTTTATCACCATTTAATAACATGATCTTTAAACTCCAACAACCTCTCTCAGTCAATGATTTGTAGAGATAAATATTGAAGACCATTGAGTTATAAATGAGGTGCCACTGTTTGTTTGCTCTCACATTCTGCCTGGAAGGAATAGCTCATTGCTTTTCTCCTGTCAACGGCCCCGTGGCAGTTATGTGGAGACACCAGATACAAGCTGGGCTGCTTCTTTTCCTTTCCTGCTGGAGTTTGGCAGAAGGTGGGAAGCTCTTGGTCGTGCCTCAGGATGGAAGTCACTGGCTGAGCATGCGTGTGGTTCTGGAGAGACTCTGGGAGAAGGGCCACAAAATCGTTGCGGTGGTTCCCGAAGCCGCTTTGTTCTTGAAAAGCTCCCAGCGTTTCACCATCAAGACATACTCTGTGCCTTACACACAGGAGTTTGTGGACAAATTCTATAATTCCCTTGGTGAATATAGTTTTGTGAACCCCCCCTTTCTAGAAAAAGTCTATTTTGTCCTCAAGAACATCTCAGAAGTGACCAGCATGTTCTCTTCCAGTTGTCGGAGCCTCTTATATGACGAAGAACTAATGAAGTACCTCCAGGACAGCAAATTTGATGCTGTCATGGTGGATCCTGTGTTGCCCTGTGGGCCAATTCTTGCGGAACATCTCTCCCTTCCATCAGTGTACTTCATGCGTGGCCTTCCATGTACCTTAGACTACAAAGCCACCCAGTGTCCCAGTCCTTATTCTTACGTGCCAAGGTCTTTCACCGACAATTCGGATCACATGACGTTCATGGAGCGTGTGAAGAACCTCCTGATTGGGTTTTCAGAGCATTTGCTCTGCTATGTGTTTTATTTAAACCATGAGAACTTAGCTTCTGAGTTTCTCCACAGAGATGTAGCAGTCCTGGAACTGTTTAGCAAAGCATCCATTTGGCTGATGAGATATGACTTCGTTTTCGAGTATCCGCGCCCAATCATGCCAAACATAGTCTATATTGGAGGCATCAACTGTGAGCAGAAGCAGCCTTTATCAAAGGTGTGTCATAGCTTACCTTGAGGGTATTGCAGAATTTATGAGTGATTATTTAAGCTTTTCCTTTTAAAATTGCTTCCTACAGTAGCATTTGTGTTGGAGGCAATCAATGATGGAACCCCAGGATGGTGTGATTTGGGTGTGGGAATCTCAGGCTCTGAGAGGTGACCACAAGACTTGCACTGAAGGGTTTAGCTCCAGGAGGGCTCAGGTGAAGTTGGCCAAGCTGGGCAGCTGCCTTGGCTTAGCTTGTGGTGGACATAACACCACAGCATTAGACAATCGTGGCACTTCTGCTGTATCCAGATAAATGATTAAATAATCCTAGGTCATATGATTTAACATCCTGAGCAACCTGGTCTAGTGGGAGGTGTCCTTGCCCATGGCAGGGGGGTGGAATGAGATGATCTTGAAGGTCCCACTCAAACCATTCCATGATTCTATGAATACTGATTAATTGCAGGGCCAAAAATGGAAAAGTGGGATTAACTCTGTGGACATAACCAGGTCAAGGCAGTAGAGGGAGCTCTGAGTTTGTGTAAGCAGCTGTGTGAAGTAGCAATTCAGAGGATGATTGAAAAAAGAAGCCTTCAGGATTCTACTTGCCCTCCTTCCCCAAAATGTTCTTCCCTAAAGTGAGCAGCTGCCAGTCACTTATTCCATTTTCCAAGCCCGTGGTCACGTTGCAGCAGCAGCAGTTCTTGCTAAGCTTGTATTATTGCTACTGCAGACTCAGGGCTTTCACTTGATAATGGAGGGACAAATCTGAAGATAAACCTTATTAACAAACACACGGTGTATCAAATCTCTGTCAATCATTGCTTCTTCTGGAGACTCTGAGAGGGCAAAGTAATCTGAAGCTCAGAGTTTGGCTCCCGGTTTTGTCTCCAATCCACAGAGCAGACTCAAGGTGGGGAGTTCATCATCAACTGGGTGTTCATAAGATAGTGCTTGCTGAGTCAGGTGGTGCCTCCCATTCATAGCTTGGTTTCAGTGGGATCCGTGGCTTGGCACTTCATCAGAGGGGAAGAGGTGATGGATTAAAACTGAAGGAGGGGAGATTGAGGTTGAACAAGAGGAAGAAATTCTTTGCTGTGAGGATGGTGAGACCCTGGCCCAGGTTGCCCAGGGAAGCTGTGGCTGCCCCATCCCTGGCAGTGTTGAAGGGCAGGTTGGATGGGGCTTGGAGCAACCAGGTCTGGTGGGAGGTGTCCCTGCCCATGCAGGGGGGTTGGATCTAGATGATCTTTAAGGTCCCTTCCAACCCAAACCTTTCCATGATTCTAAGATTCGAACCCTCTAACATTATTTCGAGCATTCAGCTTCCCCTCCCTGTGCCCAGATGCCGAAAACCTTCACCCTGTGCACAGATAAACCCAACCTTTACTCACAGTTAAAAATTACTCTCCTTTCTGCCCACAGACAGTCTGTTAAAAATTAAACACATAAGCTTAAGTTAAGAGTAAAGTGCAAAGTGCCCCATGATTCTCTCCTTGTCCCCGCTCGCTCGTTTTGTGGCCGTTAGAAACTCTGGGGGCAGCACAAGAAAAATGGCTTCTTCCAATCCAGGCTTTAATTCCTTTGCCTCTTGGCTCGTGTCTTTCCTGCTCCCGTGGACCTTTTCTGAAGGTGGAAAGCTTTTGGTTGTACCCATCGATGGCAGCCACTGGCTCAGCATGCGCCCAGTGCTGGAGCAGCTCAGCCAGCGGGGGCACGGGATCCTGGTGCTTGCTCCAGAGGCGAACCTATGGATAGGTTCATCAGTGCATTACACCCTGAAGACATACTCTGTGCCTTACACCAAGGAGTACCTGGAGGCAGAGTTTAAAAAGCTGGGCTACAGCAGCTTCACACCTCAACCCTTCTTGGAGAAATTCTCCAAAATGAAAAACATTTCGAGCGCGTTCTTTGAGTCCTGCCAGCGCCTCCTGTCTGACAGGGAGCTGCTCCAGCACCTTGAAGAAAGCCAGTTTGATGCTGTCCTGATGGATCCCTTCTTCCCATGTGGACAGATAGTGGCTGAACATCTCTCCCTACCTTCCGTGTACCTCATCCGGGGCCTGCCCTGCAGCCTGGACTTCCAAGCCACCCTCTGCCCAAATCCTCCTTCCTACATCCCCAGGTTCTTCACCCGCTGGACGGACCGCATGACGTTCCTGCAGCGCCTGGGCAACCTCCTGGCTGGCCTGAGCAGCTCCTTGCCTTGCAGCTTTCTTTTTGCACCCTATGATGGGCTGATCAAAGAGTTCCTCCACCGAGAGGCCACGCTGCTTGAGCTGTTCAGCCACGCCTCCATCTGGCTGATGAAATTTGACTTTGTCTTTGAGTACCCCAGGCCCCTAATGCCTAACATGGTCTTGGTTGGAGGCATAAGCTGCACTCAGGAAAAAGGATTATCTCAGGTTAGTTACCTTCCCCCATCCCTGCCCAGTTGAGCTGTGCTAAGCATCTCGCCACGGGGTGGAGCTCCTGGCAGTGAAAAAAACAGGAGAACACCTGCCTTACGAGGAAAGGTTGAGAGACCTGGGGCTGCCCAGTCTGGACAGGAGAAGAATGTGGGGGAACCTAATTAATGTCTATAAATACATGAGGGCATCAAGAAGGCAGGGACTAGCTCTTCTCACTTGTGTCCTCTGACAGGACGAGGAGCAATAGACTCAAAGATGAGCACAGAAAGTTCCACCTCAAGATAAAGAAGGGACCTGATGGAGTGTGAACCCTGAGGGTCAATCTCGGTTATCCCCTCAGACCCCAGAGAGAACGTTCCAACTGCTAAGCTTGTGGGAACACCTACTTAATTTTATCCCACTCATTTCACTCTGATGCTGCAACAATTCCCTCCAGTTTTCTCTCTCCTCTCCTGGCTTTACCAAGGATTTTTTTTTTCTATGAAACAGGATTTTTCCTCCAGCCTTTGGCTGGTTCTGTGCTCCATCAAGAATCCTTTTGTTCTTGGATCCAAGCTATGGATCTCCTAGCCCTTCTTTTATTGTCAGTCAAAGAAAATGGATTTAAACAAACCAACTGGCAGCAGTTCAATATTATCCTACTCAGAGCAGACCCAATGAATCCAGAGATGAGAAGTCAGACCTACCTGCTCTCAGAAGACTTTTCAAATCCTCAGTCTCTCTCGCAGCTGCACGGCCTGAGAAGAAGAGCATCAGCTCGAAATCCAGAGCATCTGAGTGGCAACGACTGTGAAAATAAACCACAATGAGGGGTTGGGGTTGTTTGGGGGTCTTTTGGGGGATGGTTTTAGGACTCATTTTCACACAGAGAAGTCATTTTCCTTATCGTGGAACTGTTGTGTCGCCTGTTCGTGTTGTTGCCTTCCCATCTAGGGGTTTATTTTTGGGGGCCACGTGGCAGAAATTAAGAGCTTGTGACGTGGAAGGGGCTTTTTGGCTAAGGATGTGCTTTTTGTGTTGGCAGGAATTTGAAGCTATTGTGAATGCCTCTGGAGAACATGGCATCGTTGTCTTCTCACTGGGCTCCATGGTCTCCGACATTCCCAGGGAGAGAGCCAAAGAAATCGCAAAAGCCTTGGGAACAGTCCCTCAAACGGTATGATTTCCTTCCCCCCACCTTCCCAGCACAGCAGTTCCATGTGCTTTTCAAACACAGCACCTGATCACCTCCAGCTTTCAGTGCCCTTGGTCCTCCCTTCCTTCTTCTGCTCCATGATGCTGGAAGAAACTGTCATCCCAGCTCCTCTGCGCGATGAAACGGGTTTTCTGCACCACAAAGCAGGTTTCCTGTCCCAGAAAACAGGTCTTCTGCACCACAAAATGGGTCTTCTACACCACAGATGTTCTGAGCTGTGCTTTTGGAGGAGCAGCAAGAGGCCAGTTGCTGAGAACTGACAGGGTGGTTCCTTCTCTTGGCAGGTTTTATGGCGCTACACGGGAGAGGTGCCCCCCAACCTGCCGAAGAACGTAAAGCTCGTCAAGTGGCTGCCACAGAATGACCTTCTAGGTAGGTCTGAGATTCCTTGAGTGGTGCCAGTGGGTTTCTGGTAATGCTGTTGTAAGGCCCCATTAGCATCATTGTGTAGATGTGGTGCTGAGGGACATGGTTTAAGCACTGGACTTGGTAGAGTTAGTTTATGGCTGGTAGAGTTGGTCTGGAAAGGTGTTGCGCCACTTGACAAGCATTCCTGTCAAAAATGGGGATCTTTATCTCTGACTATAATCACAGAATGTGTGGGGTTGGAAGGGTCCTTTACAGGTCATTTAGTCAGTCCAGCCCCCTCCTGCAGTGCACAGGGACCTTTTTAACTAGCTCAGGTTGCTCAGAGCCCCATTAAGCCCCACCATGAATGTCTCCAGGGATGGGGCTTCCACCACCTCTCTGGGCAACCTTTTCCAGTCTTAACACCCAGACATGGGTCTTCTGTCTACTGACGTGAAAAGGAAATGGAAGGTCCCTGAGGGAGCATATCCAGACAGGTTGTTGGGCTTTTCAAGTGGTGAAAATGGCTGTTGCCAGGGCTTGCACTTGTTGGTCAGACAAGAGATCTGCAACACCAGCAAGTGGAAGACACAGTAAAGAAACAAGCAATGGTAACACCCTCCTTAACCTCGTTTGGCTCTGGTTTCATTCTAAAAACCTGAGAAGCTTTGGAGGATTATCCAGGGCTTTCCAGGGATTACCCAAACTAGGGCAGAGCTCCACAACCCCAGGTTCATTCAGTCCTCTGTCATGTCCTGTCCTCTGCAGCCCTCAGTCTGGTCCCAACCTCTGGATCTGTACCTCCTTTGGGTGCAAGTTTTCCCCCCAGGGGTGGATCACTGTGATGTCAACAAACCCAAAAGCTCAGCAAGCCTGTCTTTCCTCCACAGCCCACCCCAAGACTCGTGCCTTCATCACCCATGGGGGCTCCCATGGTGTCTATGAGGGCATCTGCAACGCAGTCCCCATGGTCCTGATGCCACTCTTTGGAGACCAGATGGACAATGCCAAGCGAATAGAGTCCCGAGGAGCAGGACTGACCCTGAATATCCTGGAAATGACCTCTGAGGACATCTCCACAGCCCTGAAAGCAGTTATTAATGATAAAAAGTGAGTTGTAGAAGCACAGCCTTTCTTCTCCTCCTCCTCCTGTGTAGCTCCAGCTTCCAGCTTAGCAGATACTACTAATCTGTTCTTAGGTGCCTCCTCATGTCCAAGTTACATCTTTGAGGAGCTGGTGCCTGCCCTGGGTTAACCTCATCCTGGCCCTGCAACAGCTCCATCCTCCTCCTCACTGCCTGGGATTCTAATCATTGGGTGACCAGAACTGGCTGATAGGAAAGGATGCAGAGAAGATGGGGGCTGGAGGGGTGAAGTGGAAGGGAAGACATCGTGTTGACACAAGATGTGCCACCTGCTGGAGGCCAAATTTGACACACTTGGCCACAAGGGTGATGGAAAAGGTGGCAAATTCCTTTGATTCCCCCACCCCAGGGGTGACTTGGGTCAGTGGGGAGCACGGAAAGGTTGGAAGGCTCAAGTGCCTGGCTGGTTTTCTTCTGCACAGCAGCAAGTGGCAGTGGCAAGTGCCTCAGGATAGTCCAGACCCCTTCCCCAGGGAAGAGAATTTGCCCAGGCTGGGCAATTCCAGCAGGGAGCAGGAGGAATATGTGCTGAGGAGGTCCAGGGAACCACTCCAGGTATTGCAGCCAACCTACTCAAGGTGTTTGAAGGCACCACAGCCAAGAGGAGCTTTAAGACACGCCCTCCTTTTCCCTGCTCCCATTCCCAGTCCTTGGCATCCCCCTTCCCCACCATGTTTCCAAAAACCCAGCACTTTTGGGGCCTGTTTCCATCCTTCCTGCAGCAACACTGCTACTCATGCATCTTGTCCTTTGCCTGGACAGCTTTTCTCCAGCCAGCCTCAGGTTCCAACCAGGTGCCTCCTCAGCCCATTTTGCTGAGACCTCAAACGAAGCTTTTTCCGACTCCTTTTTCCGACTCCCTTTCTCCTTTGTCACTCATTGGAAAACTGCTCTTTTATGGGCCTGTAACTTCCCCATTATCCTCCTGGTGGGGTGGTGGGGAACACCACCAGACAACTGAGCCTGTACCCCTTTTTTTTTTCCCTTTGGAGAGGGGACACAAGCCCCTGAAAACACCCGATGTCTTTTCTTGGCAGGTACAAAGACAACATTCAGCGCCTCTCAGACCTTCACCTTGACAGGCCCATCCACCCCCTGGACCTGGCTGTGCACTGGGTGGAGTTTGTCATGAGACACAAAGGGGCCCCACACCTGAGACCTGCTGCTCACGACCTGAACTGGATCCAGTACCACTCCCTGGATGTCATGGCCTTCCTGCTGGCCGTGGTGCTCCTCTCCCTCTTCATTTCCCTCAAGTGCTGCCTCTTCTGCTGCCGCAGGTGCTGCTGTAAGAAGGGAAGGACAAAAAAGGCAACCAAAGCAAAGTCCCACTAGTAGATAAAACCAATGTTAGGGAGATAAGGCCTCTGCTCCAGATCAGAAGGAGCAGAGAACATCTCAAATGTCACTAAAAAAATTTGCTGACATTCAGTTAAGAGATAATACTGTTATTTTGAAACGAGCACCACGGGAGGGGCTGCTTCACTGAGATGATTCTGGCTTTGCCCCCCCACCCCTTAATTAAGAATTTGGTTGTTCAAAGTAATTTGTGCAGGAACATTTCAGTCACTTGGGAAGGTAAAAGTGTGAAGCCCAAGGCTCCTGGCTTCCATGTCTTGGTACACAGAGGACTCACAGTGACATTTCTTTCAACCTCTGTGCACAATGGAGAGATGAAGGGATCTCGTAAGACTTTGCTGCAAGGGCTTTAGGAGAACCTTAGGGATTCTGTAGGAGAACTTGAAGGATTCTTCAGGAGAATCTTAAAGATTCTTTAGGTATCTTTAGCAAAGCACAAGCCCAGCCCATCTGACCTGGGGTTTGTGTGTGTTTACAATCTAAAAAAGGTTGGAGCAGGAAAGTGGTTATAAAACCACTGGTGTTTTACCCAAATTCCACCCCCCACCCCACCAGAGTGGTGTCTCTGGAGCTGACCTGGGAGGTGATCAGACCTTTGCAAGCAATGCTGATAAAACCCAACTGATCTACTCTTCATAAGTAATGTTCAGGTGAAGACCCAACCCCAGCCCTATCAATAAATCCCCCAAACTAACAATTCATGGCTCTTGTGTTTTTTAACCTGGAGAGAAGTGGGGCTGGATGCTTGTCAGTCATGGAGGGAGAGCTGGAGAAGAAGCTGGTTCTGTGCCTCACTGCTTGGTCCTTGCTGAGAGGTTACCTCCTGGGGCTGCCCCAGACCCCACCAGTGGGGACAGAAGAAGTCAGAAAAGAACTTCAAGGTAATATTCCAGGCTCCAAACAGGCTGGAGCAGCCCATCCCAGCAGCCCTGCTCCACACAGGAGTTGGGAACTGTGGATTTTCTATTGCTGGCTGAAAAAGCAGGTACTTCAGCTGTCCCATCCAAGCAGACAGTCCTCATCTCAGTGCCCCTCCCTCATGGGCATCCTCACCACCTCCAAACCATCCAGGACCAATGCCAAGGGTTGCTTTTCACCCTCTGCTTCTCCCTCCCCTTCTCCTGGCCCTGGGAAACAGAAGGAAACCCTTATTTGGGGCAGGGGGTTGGCAGTAGATGGTCTTTAAGGTCCCTTCCAAACCAGGCTGGAGGTCTGTGATGATCCCCATTGCAGTTATTTCTTTGGGGATTTTTCCCAACTTCAGCCCTCTTGTGTGGGAGGAGAAAAGGAGTGAAGAGAAAGGAGAAGGCTGCAAAATCCTGTCCTGGTTTGGGCCCAACAGGACATCAAAGACCCAGCCCTGGGGCTGCTCCCTCACACCCTGGGATGGGGAGGACAAACCCAACCAGAAGCTCCTGCGTCGAGACAAAACACAAGGAGGGATCTTCACTGATTGAGGTCCTGGGCAAAACAGATTCAACTTGGGGAAAAACCAACAAATTAATTTCACACTAACCAAACACCCACAGGACACAGAAACACAAAGAACAGGGCTTGCACATGTCACCCCATCCCTCCCCTCTTCCCACCCAACTCCCTTTATTCCCAGTTTCTCTCCCTCCTTCCCCCCAGCACAGGGGGATGGGGTTTAGAGTCAGTTCACAGGCTGGAGGTTCCTGCTGCTCCTTCCTCCTCAGGAAGGAGGATTCCTCACAGTCCTGCCCTGCTTCCCCACAGGGTCCCTCCCATGGCAGATCCTCCACCAACCTCTCCCTCCATGAGTCCTTCCTACCCGGTCTGGAGCTGC